GGGAAGTGGCGAATTGATTAGTTGGTAGTAAAAGAAATAAGAAACTTTTCACTCCAGCTCCAAGGTGACATTTTAGTTCACACTTCCTTTAAAAAGAGAAACATCCAGCCCTAACCGGTTTGGCTCAGCAGATAGAGCGTCGGCCTGCGGACTCAAGGGTCCCAGGTTCAATTCCCGTCAAGGACATGTACCTTGGTTGCGGGCACATCTCCAGTGGGGAGTGTGCAGGAGGCAGCTGATTGATGTTTCTAACTCACTATCTCTCTCCCTTCCTCTCTGTGAAAAATCAATAAAATATATTTTTAAAAAAGGGAAACATCCAAATTCCACATTGTGCATATGTTCAAGTGATTTTTAAGGTATGATAAACAATAATTATTTAATTTTAGAGATAGGGAGGAGCATCTATTTGTCCCACATATTTATGCATTCATTGGTTGAATCTTGTAGGTGCCTGACCAGGGATTGGACCCGTAACATTGGTGTATGGGACAATGCTCCAATCAACAGAGTTACCCCAGCCAGGTTGCGAACTTATCTTCAGACAGCAAATGCAGGCTTTGTGACTAGTCTTCCTCCAACCACTCAGCTCTGCCGGTTGTAGACAATAACTAAATAAATGAGCATGGCTGTATCCCAATAAAACTTTATTTATAAAAACAGGCAGCAGGCCAGACTTGGTTTGTTGACCACTATACCTGGCAGAATAGGATATTACATAATGATAAATGGTATGGTTCATAAATAGAGCTTAAGTAACAGTCAAACATAAATTAAAAAGTAAAAATTTCTGGAAATTCATGATCTTGATAAAAAAAAAAAGTTCAATTTTAGGGAATTCTGAAACAATATTTCAAATAATACAAGACCAGGGAAAATTTATCACTATAACTTACAGGCATAAATAAATAGAATCTTATGTCACACACACACACACACACACACACAGCCCTAGCCAGTTTGGCTCAGTGGACAGAGCGTAGAGCATCAGCCTGTGGACTCAAGGGTCTTGGGTTCCATTGCATCAAGGGCACATACCTTGGTCGGGGTGCATGTGGGAGGCAACCAATCAGTGAGTCTCTCTCACATCAATTTTTTTGTATCTTTCCTCCTGCTTTCCACTCTCTCAAAAAACCAATGGAGCCTTAACCGGTTTGGCTCAGTGGATAGAGCGTCAGCCTGCGGACTGAAATGTCCCAGGTTCGACCCTGGTCAAGGGCATGTACCTTGGTTGCGGGCACATCCCCAGTAGGTGGTGTGCAGGAGGCAGCTGATCGATGTTTCTAACTCTCTATCCCTCTCCCTTCCTCTCTGTAAAAAAATCAATAAAATATATATATTTTTAAAAAAGCAATGGAAAAATATCCTTGGGTAAGGATTAACAATAAATATGTGTGTATATGTGTGTGTGTGTTATGAAATATACAGAAATCAACTCGTACTTAGCCATAAAGAAAAATGTCAAAATTTAAAAAGTAGGTATTGACTTCTAGGCCACAGTTACCTATCAACTTTAGCAGAAAAAGGTTTCTCTTCCTCACAGAACAAGGCATCAAAGAAAGTTTCAGAAGTGGTCTCCTTGCTCAGTGTTGCCAGGGCTGTTGAGCCAGCTTCTCTGTTTTGTCTTTTGGTCCCAAGATGGCTGCAGTAGCTCCGGGCGTCATGTCTCAGAGGAAAATGTTTAAGAGCAGAAGTGAGAGGAGAGGGAGTCTTCCTAATCCACGTCTCTTCTGAAGGAGGAGAATCCTTCCCAGGAGCCCACAGGCCCCTGGAACAGACAGGCCATCCTGAGCTGCAGAGGCTGAAAATCGGCACCTGACACCTTCAGATTCTAAGGCAGGCAACCAACCCCTCCATCCGTGACAGAAGGTATAAAAATAACCCCAAACAATCAAATGAGGTGGGAGTTAAGACACCATCACCTAAAATTAGTTTACTCCTGGGTCTGGAAGAAATAAAAACTCACACTATTGTAAGACGACCATTTTCTACTTCATCGTCTTGTAATAATTTGTTCTTTCTTCATAGCGATGTTTGGTGTCCTCTCTTCTGGTTTCTTGAATAGTACAGTTAATATATTTGAGTATAATCTTATAGGTTTTCATGTCTCACATTTAAAAGTCTGTTGGGATGTAAAAAACTCTGTCATTCTTTAAAAAATTTATTTGAGAGAGAGAGAGAGAGAGGGAGAGAGAGAAACATGGATTCCCCCCCCCCCTCATTTATGCATTCATTGGTTGATTCTTGTATGTGTTCTGAGGGGATCAAACCGGAAACCTTGGTGTATCGGGACAATGCTCCACCCAATTGAGCGACCTGGCCAACCTCTCATTGCCATTTTTCTCTTTGCCATTTATTAAAACTGCATGATTTATTTCCTTGTTAACCCAAGAGTCATTTGGCTGTTTCCTTTTTTTTTTCTTTTCAATTTCCAAGGCAATTTAAACCTTTGGCTAATGTTAAAATTATTACATGGGTTGTTAGAAAAGGTGAATCAAGAATGTATGAGACAAAACGTTTTCCAAAATTTCCCTGCCTCATTGATAATCACGATCTAAACAATTTATACCCATAAAAAATGTTCTTCAGTATGAAATTTATGAGTCGGGAGGAAGGACAGCTCTGAATGAAGGCATTCTGGCTTGTTGTATTCTTCGTCCTTCTCCAAGATGAAAGGAGGAAGCTGTGATTAGCCTGAGCCAATGGGCTCTCCCCCTTACTTCCATTCATGGATTGCATGCCGAGCCTAAGCCAATGGGCTCTCCCCATTACTTCCATTCATGGATTGCATGCCGAGCCTAAGCCAATGGGCTCTCCCCATTACTTCCATTCATTGATTGCATGATTAGCCTAAGCCAATGGGCTCTCCCCATTTCTTCCATTCATGGATTGCATGCCGAGCCTAAGCCAATGGGCTCTCCCCATTACTTCCATTCATTGATTGCATGATTAGCCTAAGCCAATGGGCTCTCCCCATTTCTTCCATTCATCGATTGCATGACTAGCCTAAGCCAATGGGCTCTCCCCATCACTTCCATTCCTATGGCTGCTTGCTAACATAAGTTCTCTGATGATCAACAAGGGGTAAGCGCTGATGGAAGGCTTTTCTACGTTTATCACATTCACCTGTGTTTCTCTACTTTGCCTTCTCCGACGTCGAAGAGTAGCGGGACCACGATCGAAAGTCTTCCCCCCGTCCTTACAGTCAAAGGGCTTCTCCTCGGTGTGAACGACCTGATGCTGAGTCAGCTGGGAGCCGTGGCTGAAGGCCTTCCCACAGGCCTGGCACGTGTAGGGTTTCTCCCCCGTGTGGATCCTGTAATGCACAGCGAGGTGCGAGACCCGCTTGAAAGCCCTCCCGCACGCCTTGCACGGGTAGGGTTTCTCTCCCGTGTGGATTCTCTGGTGTTGCTTCAGCTGTGAGCTCACCCGGAACGCCTTCCCGCAGGCCTGACACGCGTAGGGCTTCTCGCCCGTGTGGATTCTCTGATGCCGGATGAGCGTGGAGCCCTGATTGAAGGCCTTCCCGCAGTCCTTACATTCATAGAGTTTCTTGCCAGTGTGAAGAGTCTGGTGTTGGATCAGCTGGGACCGGTGGCTGAAGGTCTTCCCGCACTCCTTGCAGGCGTAGGGCTTCTCCCCCGTGTGAATCCTACCATGGACTTTCAGATGCGAGATCCGATTGAAGGCCTTGCCACACTCTTTGCACTGATAGGGCTTCTCGCCGGTATGGATGCGCTGGTGTTCGATCAGCTGGGAGCTCCGGCCGAAGGCCCTGGCGCAGTCCTGACACGCGTAAGGCTTCTCGCCGGTGTGGACCCGCTGGTGCTGAATGAAGTTGGAGCCCGAGTTGAAGGCCTTCCCGCACTCCTTGCACTCGTAGGGTTTCTTGCCAGAATGGATGTTCTCGTGCTGAACCAGGCGCGAGCCGTACTTAAAGGCCTTCCCACACTCCTTACATTGATAGGGTTTCTCGCTGGCGTGGATTCCCTGGCGGCGAAGGAGGAAGTCCTCTGGCCAGAAGGCTTCCCTACATCCGTCATAGTCATAGGGCTCGTCCCCTGGATGGACTTTCCCACAGAAAGTAAGGGACGCCTGCGGGCCTGAGAGGGGGCATTTCTTCAGGCCCGACGATCACGTGACTCAGATGTTCATCTGGATCCCCCCGCTGTCCGTCAGACTGGCTTCCGCACTCCCAGTCGTCTGGGAGACTCGAGCACTCGAGACCGGAACTCGGAAGGCTTTCCGGTCTCGCCCACCGGGTCGCGTGTCCTTCACAAACAGGCTGCTCTGGAGGTGACACCTTAGTCTCAGACCTGGCCTCCAAGGCTGAAAAAGAACGAAAGAGCAAGTATGCTTCTCGTTTTTTTCCTTTTGCAGAAAAGGGAACTTGTCTAGTAAAAACTGAAGATAATGCCGACAAGCTCCTGAACGTGGCTACTGAGGAACTGGGCAAATCGTACGGAGAAAGAGGAAACGCCATAAATGAGATGAGTGAGGTAATCAAGAAGGTTGTAAGAGTAGTGCTTGGAAATGGCCTCTATCTTTTTTTTTACTCCTCACCCATGGATATATTTTCATTGATTTGAGAGAGGAAGGGAAACATTGACTGGTTGCCTCCCATACGTGCCCAACCAGGGATCGAACCCAGTACCTAGGTATGTGCCCTGACTGGGGATCACACCCAAAACCCTGGCACATCGGGACGATGCTCTAACCAACTGAGCTACCCAGCCAAGGCCTAGACACAGTATGTGACAGTTAATTATTTGGACAACCAAAGAAATAATGTCTAAAAATCTTATGTATCGTCTTAGCATTAAATGCTCTGGTTTCCTCATACAGAACTTGAGGGATCTCAAATAGCCAAACAATCTTGAAAAGGAAGAACAAAGGACTCACATTTCCTGACTTCAAAACATATGACAAAGCTATAGTAATTAAAACAGTGTGGTGCTGGCCTAAAGGCAAATATGCAGACCAACGGAACAAAAGAAAGAGCCCCAAAATAAACCCTCACGTGAGTGGTCAGATGATCTTTGACAAGGGTGCCAAGACCACACAATGAAGAAAGGACAGTCTTTTCCATAAACGGTGCTGAGGAACTTGGATATCGACATACACAAGAATGAAGCAAGACCCTTACCTCACACCAAATACAAACATTAACTCAACATGAATGGAAGACCTACACAGGATCTAAAACTATAAAGCTCCTAGAAGAAAAAGAGGGGAAAGCTTTATGACATCGCATTTGGTAACACTTTCTTAGAGATGGCACCAAAAGCACAGGCAATAAAAGCAAAAATATACAAATGGGACGACATCAAACAATAACTGGGCATCAAAGGAAACAACAGAGTGAAAAGGCAACGTACAGAATGGAAGAAAATATCTGCGAATCATATATCGGATAACGGGTTCATATCCAGACTATATAAAGAACCCCCACAACTCAATGACAAAAGCAACCCATCCCGATGAAAAAATGGGCAAAGGACTTGAATATACAGTTTTCCAAAGAAGATACACAAATGGTCAATAAGCTTATGGAAAGATGCTCAACATCACCAATCGCTAGACAAATCCAAATCGAAACTATGAGATCCTACCTCGTGGCTATGAGGACGGCCACTATTGAAAAAGAAGAAAAACACACCAAAGAACACAGTAACAGGAGCTGGCACGGATGTGGGAAAACGAGAGCCCTCATGCCCTGCTGGTGGGAACGTACGATGGGGCAGTCACTTTGGGAAACAGCATGGAGGTTACTAAAAAAATTAAATCCCTACTGGGGATGGAGCCTGCAACCCAGGCATGTGCCCTTGGCTGGGAATCAAACCGTGACCTCCTGGTTCATAGGTCGACGCTCAACCACTGAGCCACGCCGGCCGGGCTCATTGTAATTCATTTATTTTTTTATTTATTTTTATTTTTTTTAAATATATTTTATTGATTTTTTTACAGAGAGGAAGGGAGAGGAATAAAGAGTTAGAAACATCTATGAGAGAGAAACATCTATCAGCTGCCTCCTGGACACCCCCTACTGGGGGCGTGCCCACAACCAAGGTACATGCCCCCGACCGGAATCGAACCTGAGACCCTTCAGTCCACAGGCCGACGCTCTATCCACTGAGCCACACCAGTCAGGGCCATTGTAACTCATTTAAATGCCAATGGCCGTGTAGCACCAGCCGCGCCATCCTGGAAAGCCCAGCATGGGTGGTGTTTAGCCTGGCAGCAGAGAAGGTCCTGGGGAAGGGAGATAAACAGGAAGGAACAGGCCGAGTCTGAGCCTGAAACCTAAAGACGGTGAGAGGACCCACCATGGGGGTCGAGGGGGTTAGAGAGCTGGCAGGGGCAAGAGACAGGAGATGCTCCAGGGAGGAGCTGCTGTCAAGTGCTGCTGACAAGCCACCGAAGGTACCTCCTCGGCCTGACCTCTGAGCTTGGCGACTCAGAGGAACTATTTTCCACCTCAAAGGGCCGGCTTCCTCCCCACCTGCTGGACGGTTACCTGCGCTGGTGTCCCTCCTCCCCCCCGCGCCTCACTCACCAGGGCACAGGCCTCCCGCCGCTGCCTCCACCGCCCTCCAGGGCTCCTTGCCTTGCTCCAAGAAGGCGATCACATCAGGTTTGGAAATGGCCAGATCTGGATGCGAGAAGACACGACGCCCGGTGATGGTGCGGCCCCAGAGCTCAGGCCCAGGACCTGGTCATCGAGGATGAGAGGCCATAGTGGGAAGGGACAGGGGACGACCTGACAGTCACCCAAGACCTGGTGACAACGTAGCTTCAGCCCAGGGAGCTGCCCTTTAACCCCTCACACTGACAAGGCAGGAACTCCTCCACCCACGGGTACCCTCCAACCTACCAGACCAGGCGCCCTTACCCAGCGAGCGCAGGTTGCTGTAAGTCTCCAACATCACGTCCCTGTACAGATCCCTCTGAGCAGGCGCCAGCCACTCCCATTCTTCCCGGGAGAAGACGACGGCCACATCCCTGAACAGGTCTGACCCCTGCAACAACGGGCAGGTGTGTTACATGCGAACCCCACGGGAACCTCTCTCGGTGGGAGGAGAGGAGGTGGGGGGAGTCTTTGCAGGAAAAGGCTGGGGCTGGAGGCCCCTGAAGCCAGCAGATGACGGGAGAACACGGGTGTGAGTTCAATGTTCTTTCTTTTTTAATTTTTTTTTCCTCCAAAAATATATTTTATTGATTTTTTACAGAGAGGAAGGGAGAGGGAGAGAGAGTTAGAAACATCAATGAGAGAGAATCATCTATTCAGCTGCCTCCTGCACACTCCCTACTGGGGAGGTGCCCGCAACCAAGGTACATGCCCCCGACCGGAATCGAACCTGGGACCCTTCAGTCCGCAGGCCGACGCTCTATCCACTGAGCCAAACCAGTTAGGCAATGTTCTTTTTTTAAAAACTATTTTCTTTTTTGTGTTTTTAAAAAATATATATTTTTATTTGATTTCAGAGAGGGAAAAGAGAGGGGAGAGATAGAAACATCAATGATGAGAGAGAATCATGGGATCAGCTGCCCCCCCGGCATGCCCCCCCATTGGGGGATCAAGCCCGCCAACCCGGGGCATGTGCCCTGACCAGAATGGAAACTCAGGACCCTTTCAGTCCAGGTCTATACTCTATCCACTGAGCCACAACCAGCGAGGTCCTAAAAAGGTTGTTTTTTGTTTTTTTTTTAAAAAAAAAAG